AAGAAAGGAGGGAGGGAAGGAAGTAGAGAAGAATGGGAAAGAAGGGAGGAAGGGGGAGGAAGGAAGGAGAAAGAGAAAGAAGGAAGAAGATGGGAGGGAGAAGGAGGGAGGGAAGCAGATGGAAGGAGGGAGGGAAGAAGGAAGGAAGGAAGGAAGGAGATGAGAGGAAGAAGGGAGAAGGAGGGAGGGACAGAGAAAGGGAAGGAAGGAGATGGGAGGAAGAAGGGAGAAGGAGGGAGGGACGGAGAAAGGGAAGGAAGGAAGATGAGAGGAAGAAGGGAGGAGGGAGGAAGTGAAGGAAGGAGATGGAAGGAAAAAGGGAGGAGGGAGAGAGGGAAGGATAGAAGGAAGATGAGAGGAAAGGAGATGGAGGGAGGGAGAGAAGGAAGGAAGGAAGATGGGAGGAAGAAGGGAGAAAGGGAAAGGAAGGGAGGAAAGGAGACAGGACGCCTGCCCAGAACCGGTTGCTGGGATTTTTGAATCCCCCCACCTGCCTTTACCGTCATTCTAAATTATCCTCCTCCTGATTAAAGGGGCTTCCCCCCTGCCTGCCATCCCAGACACAGCTTGGTTAAAGAGAAAGGAGAAATGGGGAGCGGGGGGGAGGGCTGCGGTCCCGAGACTTACGTCCCCTTTCATCATCCGGACTCTGGCCAGCCACCAGCCGCAGGGTTCGTGCTCGTTGGCGCGGGAATACACCTAAAAAGACACACCAGGTCGGGGCCTAAGACTGAGCAGCCCCTTTCCCTCCGGCACGGCCCTGCCCTCTTTCTCCCCCCACCCCTCCAATCCCCCCCCCCGCCATGGCCGGGACTCACCTCCACCTCGTCCCCTTCGGAGATTTCTTTACTGTAATCCAGGGGTGGGGGCAGCCGCACGTCCCCAAAGGGAATTTGACGTTCCGGTTGCCAGCTGGGGGGTGAGGGGGGGAGAAACAAGGAAGAGGGAAGACCGGCATCAGCAAGGACACACCGACTGAAGGGATCCCCTTCTGGGGGGGGGGGGGGTCAGACGCGGGGGTCAAGGATTGTGAGGAATCCAGGGTCAAGAATCAAGAGAAGAAGGGTGTTCCTGATAGAATGGCATCGGAGGCGTGTCTGCAGGGGTTGGGTTAGAAGACCTCTAAGGTCCCTTCCGGCCCTAGGATTCAACCGTGTCCCCCCCCCCAGAAAATAAGCCCTACCCAGAAAGTAAGGCCTAGCTCGATTTTTTTAATACAAGCCCTACCCGCAAAATAAGCCCTAGTTAAGAGCCCCACCCACTCGAATGGATACCCCGACAACAGGGTGCTTATGGAGCACCAAGAAATGCAGCCTGTTTCCCCGAAAATAAGCCCTACCCTGAAAGGCCTAGCTTGCTATTTTTACATATGCGCCCAATATAAGCCCTACCCCCTCCAAAATGAGCCCTAATGAAGATTCCCAGTCACTCGAATGGATACCCAGACAACAGGATGCTTATGAAGCACTAAGAAATGCAGTCTATTTCCCCCAAAATACGGCCTAGCCTGAAAGTAAGTCCTAGCTTGATTTTTTTACACATGTGCCCAATATAAGCTCTACCCCCAAAATAAGCCCTAATTAAGAGCCTCACCCACTCGAATGGATACCCAGACAACAGGATGCCTAAGAAGCACTGAGAAATGTAGCCCGTTTCCCCTGAAAATACGACCTACCCTGAAAGTAAGGCCTAGCTTGATTTTGAGGCGTGCGCCCAAAATAAGCCCTACCCCCAAAAAAAGCCCTAATTAAGACCCCGCCCACTCCAGAGCGGATGGGTAAAAATTAAGTTAGGGTGGGGAATAGGGGGTGGGTGGAGCTGCCCTGCTACTTCCCTTTGGACAGGTGTAGCCAGGCCTAGCACACCCCAACACCTGCCTCACTGGTCCGTTTGCCATGTGAGTAGGCGGCATGTCACCGATGTCCCAGGAGGGGCAGGCCCAGACTCGGATGTTTCTAGAAGCCGGAACGAAGGAGAAAAACTTCCTGCCAGGGAGGACAATCCACCAGTGGAACTGCTTGGCCCCCAGAAGTTGTGGGCGGCTCCATCCCTGGAGGCATGGAAGAACAGACTGGACAGTCCTTTGTCTGAACTGGTCTAGGGCAAGGGTCTTTTGTGGATTTCCAACTCCCGGAATTCCTGGAGCTAACCTGACTGGAAGGAGGAATCCTGGGAGTTGGGAAGTCCACAAGACTTCAAGCTGTCCAAGTTGGAAGACAACACCACCACCCCTCCCCCAGTCTAGGGCTTCCTGCCTGAGCAGCAGGTTGGACTAGAAGACCCTCCAAGGTCCCTTCTAAGACTCTGTTGTTCTGTTAATGAGTCGGTGGAACAACTTGCCCCCCACCCCCCCAAGAAGTTGTGGGTTCTCCCATCGCCGGAGGTTTTCAATGGGCCAGCAAGGCAGGTGTTGGGGTGTGGGAGGCCTGGCTATACCTGTCCAAAGGTAAGTAGTAGGGCAGCTCCACCACCCCTCATCTGCACCCCAGCTTTTTACCCTTCCAGTCTGCAGTGGGCGGGATCTTAATTAGGGCTTATTTGGGGGGGTAGGGAATCCCAGATAGATAGATAGATAGATAGATAGATAGATAGATAGATAGATAGATAGATAGATAGATAATGGACCTATATATATAATATATAGCCAACGACCCAGGAGATTACAGCACAAGACCTCAGAATGTCACAACAATAGAACTCAGAAGGTCATCACACAGCCCATTACCCAGGTCGTTACAACACAGGAGGCTGATAGACACACAGTCAATACCTCAGCCACACATGTTCTTATGAAAAAGCCAATCTGCAAACATCAACTCCATCAACCAATCAAGAAATGACAACACAGCCAACCTCCCCACCAGTATATATAGGGAGACACAGCTCCGATCACACTTTGCTCGCACAAGCACGAAGCCGAAAGCACCAGCCTGAAGATGGCGAGTGGGACCTCATCGAAATGTTGCCAAGATGCTCTCAATCTTACACGGGAAAAGACCCAAACACGCCAAGATTAAACTCTACAAAGGCTTCCATACAAAGTTTCTTCATTGGGTCACAAGGCATCCTCAAATATAACTTACGTCGAGATTCATCTTAATGTCCAATTCTTTGCATAGCTGACTTCATAGTGTAAAAGAATAGTGATCTTTCATCCCATAACTATGGAGCAAGGGAGGTGAGGCACCAGCACGCTGCTGGGGTCCAAGCAGGAGTAAAGGAAACTCCCCCAACCCAACCAAGGGTCAATTCAGTGACCAATCAGGATTACAGATGTGACCACATGACTTGAACTACATTTTCCCATGATGCATTAACTACATTTCCCATGAGGCATTCCCTTAAGGGGACAGCTCCCAATTCTAACTTCACTATCTCAATTCCCAATTACCTATATACTGTCTGGACAGCACACTCCCCACCTGGAATTATAAATTCCACTACCAACTAACTACCAATTAACTATATAACTAAGATAAACAGTAAAACAAGTAATATATGAATGACAAGGTCTTATTTTGGGGGGGAAACACGGTATCATAATCAGTGAAATGGCTTCCCTCCAGAGGTTGTGGCTGCTCCGTCGCTGTAGGCTTTGAAGAAGAGACTGGACAGCCATCGGTCTGGAATGGAAAAGGGTCTCCTGCTTGGGAAGAGGGGGGTTGGAGTAGAGGACCTCCGAGGGCCCCACCAGCCCTACTATGTTGTGTTCTATGCTCTCCGCATCATTAAACAGACTTTGCGCTAGTCACGGTAGATGTGCAGCCGCCCCTCGGCAAGTGGGGCCAAATACCAGCACCTGATTCTGAGATTTTTGCTGACTTCCTGTCTGTAATCAATATAGTAAGGGAAAGACAGTTTGCAACTTAGGTATATATAAGGTTGCAATCTTCCGGTCAAGATTTCCCAATATTACATTCTGCGCTGGATCCACTGTTCCTTTGTACTGAAATACTGAAATATTTAATGCGTAAATACGATTAAGAGCGATAAATAACTACGCTCTCTGAGCTGCCCAACCCCCTGGCCCTTCCATAAGATGTGGGGATAACCAGCCTGGCCAGCCAGAACTTGGAAAGAAGGGAACACTTGTTCTCCTCCCCTGGCTCCCCGAATCATCGGAAGGGAACAAGCCACGATGTGCAATGGAGGTTTATTTCAGCGGGGATTCAAAATCAAAACTCCACACTCAGGAGCCTGAGAGAGGCGGACGGGGGGGGGGGGGGGAGGCGGGGGACGGATGGCAGGGAAGTGGAAGTGCCCACCCTGAGCACAATTGGGCCATAGGGTGATGCTAGGAGGGTTTCTTCCGTCCTTCCTTCGTTCCCTCCTTCCTTTGTTCCTTCCTCTTCCTTCCTTCCTCCTCTTTCCCTTCCTCTTCTTTCCTTTCTCCCTTCCTCTTCCTTCCACTTTCCTTCCTTCCTTCCACTTCCCTCCTCCTTCCTTCCTCCCTCTTCTTTCCTTCCTTCCTCCCTCCCTCCTCTTTTCCTTCCTCTTCCTTCCTTCCTTCCCCCCTCCCTCCTTTCCTTCCTCTTTCTTCTTTCCTTCCTCTCCTTTCCTTCCTCCTGTCCCCCCACCTCCTCTTCGCTCCCAGCGCCAGCGGAGAGCCTGCAGCCCTGGGAACTGGCCATGGTGCTGCAGGGCTGCTTTGCTACCAGGGTTAACCAGGGTTTCTACACCCCCAGCCCACCCCACCCCACCCCCATGGAGAAAGCTGGGCGGCTGCTGGGCAGAGAGCAGCGGGCACGAGCTACTTCCAACCAGCTGATGGAGGCAGGGCCAGGCCAGTGGCCGTTCTGCTCCTCCCTGTAGGGTGGAAGCGGCCTTGAGCTGAGACCCCCAAGGCCGGAGGGCAGGCAGACACCCCGCCCCTTGCAAAGGATAAAGGGGCTCAGCTGTTGCCCTGAGCCATCTGGCTGAGGTTGGGCCAAGAATTTGGAGCCCTCTCATTCTTCTCTCCACACACACACACACACACACACAGAGAGTCCATCCAACCCCCTCCCCGCCCTTTTTCACAAATCCAGAAGAATCTGCTTTGAGAGAATAACAGGAACGGGAAGGGCCTTCAGAGGTCTCCTAGTCCAGCCCCTTGCTCAAGCAGGGGACCCTATAGCAAGTCAGGTAAAATGTCTGTCCAGGCTCTTCTTGAAAACGTCCAGTGATGGGAGCACCCACGACTTCGGGGGGGGGGGGGGGGGGAGCAAGTCGTTCCACTGATTCATTAACAGAGTAACAGAGTCTGATTCTACAAAAAGCCACCGGACCTGGAACAGCTTTTATCCTCTGACGCTACCTGAGCGGTTCCTAGGTCCTTGGTGTTAGGACTCGAGCTGTGGAGCTACCAACGAGCCCCAAAGGCTGTGAATCCCACTAAAGATTAATAATAGTAATAATAATAATTGTTAGGGATAACATTGTTTACCCTAACTGGTTTGGGTAAAAATAATAAATAAGGTATCATGGTTTGTTAGTTAAAGTGTGTGTAACTTTAACTGCAAGAATGTAATTAAGGGTGTGGTTGTAAAAGCACTATATAAGAAGCGAGGCAATTGAAGCTCGCTCTCTCTGGCTTGAAGATCCCTAATTACTGGATGGATTGATGACTGCATTCTTGCTGGAACGGGGAGAGAAAAAGGAGTGTTGATTTTTCTCAACGGAGAGAAGATAAAGATTGGACTGATTTATTGTAAGTGAACTGACATTGGCTATTCAACACGGACTTTGCAAATAGAGTATCCCCGACAAGACTTGACTGAAATTGATATATGACTAATGGACCGTTACATTTGCCTATGCTATAATTCTTAAATGGAATAAACTATATTTTTGATAGCACAAGCGTATCTGTATTTTTACTGCGTGTTAACTAGAAAACTTATCTCACACATTTACCTGTCTTCCTATCT